TAATGTCTCAGCCTCACAATCCCTCAGAGTACTACTGTTTTCACGAGGCATACCTAACTTTACTAAAGACTCATTTCGTTTGTTTATTTCGAATTTAATTATACTTAGACTTAACCTGAGCGTTTAATTATTCTAAGGCGTTAATATCGCCTTGATAGACCGAATCTTACACATTTTAAAGTTTGCAAAGGTATTAATTACTTAGACTACTTAAACGTAAAGGTAGATAATTACCACGAAATTTTTCATAAGCACAGTCATTCCTTAGGGGAATAAGACTGATGTCATAAGTTAAGATTATGACAAAGAAAGACAATACGCCTGCAAAGAAACGCAAGGCCGAACCTAAAAAGATGGAAAGAGAAGCTGCTAGCGCTGCAGCAGCTGCCGCTGCCGGGGAAGCAACCGCAGCTGCAGCCGATGCGTTTAACCGCACCGTAGCCGAAGCACTTGTCTCCGACAATAATAGTCAGGACAATGTCTCGGATAAGGATGTAGCCACTCCGATTAAGGAAACTACTCCTACCGATAAAGCCCGAGGGCCAACTATTGCTTCTACTTCTAAGCTTACATTTACGAAGCCACAAAGTGAAGTAAGGAAAGCTAATGGGATTGCTCAGAAGGATGATCTCCCAGTTACGGAGGAAAATGACGAATCCCCAAGGTGAAAAAGTACCACCGAAGGTACTTATACCGGAACAAGAAGAGGGGGCAAGCTCAAGTGACAAATCCGAATCTACGTCCGAGAGCACTGAACCAACGCGTATAAGTAAGTTAATTACTGAAAACACTGATCTTAAGAATTAGTTAGCCGCCCTTATGAAAGGCAGGACTGTTGAACATGTAGATCGAATGTATAGATCAGGAAAACATACACAGCACTTACGCGAGCATGTTTCTCCGGGAATTACTAAAGCCCGACATTAAGTTGGAGTGAAAGTACTACCAGGTACAATCGTTACAAAGTAAATACAGCGACTCTTTAGACGAGCGTGTAATAATCCCTGTATACTGCAATGGAAATAAAGTCCTTGCATTGATTGATCCTGGTTCAAAAATTTCATGTATATCCGACCGCTTTGCATTAATGAAAGACATTGAACGGCGAACTCAAACCACTCACCTAATCTTAACAGATGAAAAAACTTCTAAGTGTGATACCTTGGCCACAGAAGTTAAAATCTCCCTGGCTGGTGATAGAATTATCACTACCCAAGCTGTGATAGTTAAGATGTCACAGAAGTACGACTTAATAGTCGGAATGAGTGATTTACTCACTCTAGGTATAACCGTAACTGGTTTACCAAATAACATAGATACATTAAAGGATCAATCAGACGATAACTGTCTGAAACCATATAAGCCCCCGTCAGACACAGTCAAGGCATTAATACCTGACTTTACAAACCCTAAATAAGAGGATAAAGATCACAGATTGGGCAAAATTCCGGTTTAACGACAGGTATATCAGCCTTGACTTAACCAAGGTGGACTTTACACAGTTGAAGTGCCCCTCAAGAAACTATGTATCCTGGAGAAACGAGGCTGTGGTAAAAGAACAACCTGAAACCCGTTGAGAAATGGTTAGCAGATGGAGTGATAGAAATTAACTATCGACAGACGCCAGTTAACTTGGCATTGCTAGCTGTAGACCAACATAACTCTGATGGATCGTTTAAGAAAGTCAGAGTATGTTTAGATATGAGTCCGATAAATAAATTATTGCCGACTCATAGCTTTTGCCTACCTCGTATTAACGAGCTACTGCGAAGGGTGGAAGGTGCTACAGTATTTACAGCTATATACCTTACACAAGGATACCATCGTAAATACTTTGTTGCACTCCTTACCAGCATTCCTCCAACAAGTAATGGAGGAAATGATTGCAGACATGCCTAACTGTAAGATTCGGTCTCTCAAGGCGATATTAACGCCTTAGAATAAATAAACGCGTAAGTAAATTCTAAGTATCGTGAAAATATCAAAGTATATAAACGAAATAAGACATTTAGTAAAGTTAGGTATGCCTCGTGAAAACAGTAATACTCTGAGGGATTGTGAGGCTGAGACATTGCCTATATATAATCCTCTCAGTACTGTTTCCGCCGAAGGGATTTTATTTAGTGTTTCGAAGGGAGGCTATACATACTATCGTACACGCTTTATAGACGGTAAAATCGCTGAGTTGACTTCAGATGCTTTCGATAATCAAGACTATCTAAAAGCCTTTAATCGAAAATGGCGTAAACGCCTGCATAAGTCACAAACTGAAAAAGAGAGCATGTTTCCATCGTCTGAAGACACGGAAGTTAAAACTTACCCGCCTACAGCATTTATCCCGAGCTTTAATGCTCATCTTTCATATGTGTTTAAGACACTGAAGCGTAAGAAACGTCCAGTCGACCATCACGGACCTACTGGACCTAAGCCCAAAACTCACAGGGTAACCGAGAACTTTTAACTTCTCCGCCTGAGAAACATTAACTATATGTTATGCTACTTAATGTTTCGACCCGTTTTCCTTTTACTCGCTTTTTGGCCCAAAATCAGCTTGAGTGAGCAACTAGCCTCTCTTGGGTCTCAAAGCTGGGTGGGGGCTGTGTAATAGCCGGGCCTCCACATTAGACTCTATGTTATAAACGTACTCTTAAGCAGTACGTAAAATAGAAACGTACTCTTGGTAGCACAAGGAACTTAAGTTTCCTAAATGGTTTTTAACGGTTTTATTAATTGATACCTTTTCCATTTTACATATCAGATGTTTGGATGAAGGCCATTAAAAGGCCCGAATAAAATGCCAAAGATAGGATTTGGAATAGTTTTATTAATAGAACTGTATTTTATTCCAAATTTATTTATATCTGAATACTTCTGAATATAGGTTTCTAGGGACTATTAGCGTTACCTAGTTTAACCTCCGATCAGCCAACCAGATGTGCCAGTCTGATGAAGGCTAAGTCGGTAATTTTTGATAAGTGGCAAGTTATTGGTTAGTGCAATAACTGAGAACATCAAGAGTATTTTTTTTCTTCTTCTTTTTCATAAAGATAGGATTTTATGAGTCTCTCGGATTCGCCCCAATGAAACATACCATAGTTTCTCATAGAGCGACAATGAAACACTAAATAAAATCCCTTCGGCGAAAACAGTACTGAGAGGATTATACATAGGCAATGTCTCAGCCTCACAATCCCTCAGAGTATTGCTGTTTTCCCGAGGCATACCTAACTTTGCCAAAAGACTCATTTCGTTTATTTATTTCGAATTTAATTATACTTCGGCTTAACCGAAGCGTTTAATTACTCTAAGGCGTTAATATTGCCTTGATAGACCGAATCTTGCAATCGCAAGTGTGTGAGATCTCCTGTGTGGCTGAGATATTGAAACAATGTGTGAAGATAACCCAGCAGTTTTGGAATTCTAAATACTTGATGGCTCAGATAGACTTCTACACAAGCAAATATAGGGGGCGACAAATAAGACCCCGAAAGACTACCATTATGAGATTTGCCAAGCTACTATACATAGCGTATAGACTCTTAGAACTACAAGACAGTATATGTGAAGTACTCTTCGCTGAGGCGAAGGAAACCATGAATGAAAATGCATCTTTTCGGGATATCAAGGCGATCGTGGGTGACGAGCATTGGTGGACTAGTCTGGAGAATATCCTAAATGTACTCTCTCCTTTGTTGATGTTACTACGCCTCGCTGACTGCGTTAAACCAACAGCGTCGAAGATTACTGGATATATGGATCAAGCAGAACTCATATGGAAAAGTTTGACTAAGATTACATGCGATTCAAACGATCTAGCTGATCGAATGCTATCAAGAATCAATGCTCGCTTGAGAGGTAACTGGCTATTTATTCGCGACAATGTATACTATAGAGCAGCTTATACTCTAGATCCAGCTTTTGCTGGCGAAAATCCATATCAGGACCCAATCAATCGCGAGTCTCAACATACCATCCTTCGCCGAGTGATACAAGCCTATCCCAAAGACATCGATAAGGAAGCTGTGTACATAATGACAATACGTGAGTTAGAGTCATATTTCAATCGTAAGGGAGCATATACTCCCGGCAAAGATTGTTGGAAGGACGTCCGTTATGACAGAGTGTGTGCTAAGTGGTGGCAACGACATGGGATCCATTGCCCCGTTGCGCAATTAGCAGTCGTATATATTGTTAGTCAGACAGCATGTAGTGGAATGACCGAAAGAGACTACAAAGGGTTGAAAGGGGTGGTGACAAAAGTATAGATCGAGAATTAATGTTGTGAATACGAAGGAGTATAATAATATAGAGAACTTGGATGATATAGACAGCAAGGAGATTGTCATCGAGGAAGAGCCGGCGGGAAGTAGTAGACGAAGACGAAAGAGGGCACCCACTCTGCCAAATATTATTGAAGCTGCCAGCGTACTTAAATTCCTTGCTGACATCGTGCAGAGGCATAAGCCGACAGGAAAGTGTCGAAAGTTTTTTTAAACGTAGCTATTTCTCAAGTGAATAGACAGAAGTCATAAGTTAAGATTATGACAAAGAAAGACAATACACCTAAGAAGCGAAAAGCAGAAAAGAAGAGGATGGAGAGCGAGACAGCCAACGCCGCTGCAGCCGCAGCCGCTACCGATTGGGTGAATCGAGCCGTAGCCGGGTATTGTCTGTGGCCTTAACAGCCAAGACAATGCGTCGGATAGGGATGCGGCTACTCCATTAAAAGTCCCCCGAAGAAAGAGCCCGCGGGCCAACTATTGCCTCAGCTTCGAAGCTTACATTTACGAGGCCAAGAAGTGAGACAAGGGGAGCGTCTAAAACCTCAGAAAGAAAAGTCACCAATTACGGTAGACGACGACGAAACTCAGGTGATACCCCCAAATTTACATGAAGAGGAGGCAAGCTCAAGTAGTCAACCCGAATCGAAGTCCAAACCAACCGAGCCAACTCGTACAAGTAAGTTAACTACTGAAAATACTGAATTTAAGAATCAGTTAGCTGCTCTTAGACAGGGTATATCCATTGAATACGTAGACCGAATGTATGGGTCTGGAGAAACGACAAAGCGCTTACACGTATACGTTTCTCCGGGTACCACAAAATCTCAGCAGAAATGGACGGAACGTCAATTGACGATGTCGCCCACAGAACGTAAAAATTTGAGTACAAAACCTGCAGCCGGCGAACCGGAACAACCTATCTGGGAAGAACACCATAATGCTTTTCCCCAAGACGAGCAAGCAATTTTTCCGCCCAAACCATCTCCTGGGCATGAGTCCCCTGCCCTCGAGGGTATTACAGAGCCCGATATATAT